ATTTCGCATGCGTTTGTATAATATATAATGTAATTTTGAAATAATAATCATAGATATAAAAAGATGAGCTTTTCATATATATATATATATAATTTTTATTTTATATGTATATATTATATACATATATTTATACTATTTTAACATATGTGCTATATTATGATGACTGATGTTTTTATTGTATTTTTATTTAAAATTTTATTTCAGAAAATAATAGCATTTAATATACAACGTATACATATATTTTAACATTAATCGCTATAGAATATTTTTATTTGAAATTTTATTTCTGGCAAATATTTTTGATATAACATTTAATAAAATATATATTTTTGTATCAATGTTATTTTTTCATTTAGAATATTATAAATTCTCATTCCTTATTTATTTATCGATATAGTAAGTATCTACAGTGACAAAACATGTACAAATATGATACACAGTACATGCAGAGTGACTTAAAATATATGGTACATATATATATATAAGTATAGTAGGGTGTAGGGCCCTAAAATTAAAAAAAATCTCGTTTTACACTTATATTTATTTTTGTTTTTCTGTAATTCTTATTACAGATTGTATTCGTTCTTCAACACAAAATTATGGTCAGATTTTATGTACAATAGTGCACCATCTTATGTTAGTCGATTGGTAAAACAATGTTTAAATCAAATATTCGTCGAGAAACGAGTTGATCGTGGAGAGCTAATCAACTATTCAGCTTATTCGCTAGACTTACATAACTCATTTAACCTAACCTACAAGTCTGACTCGTAATACGTGATTTGGACCAAAACACATTTCTGCGTGTCAGACTCGCAGTACATGATTTGAATGAAAATACACTATTGCAAGTCTAACATATAGCACATAATCTAACTTAAGAACTTGCGGAACCTTCCCCAACTTTTCTAACGTGGTGGTAGAAGAAAAAGAACTAGGAGTGGGGGAAAAACCTCTTATACTCCGCATCCTGCATCTATTAACGCGGTTAATGCAACATTCCTCACTCTTCATTTTTCATCTATTTTTTGTAAATTTCTGCACGCGTGGCAACCCTGCTCAAGTCTATGTTTTAAATCAAATCTGGGGATCATCTCCATCGTGGCTGCAATACTTCCACCACTAGTCTTCCAGTTCCCCTAACATTAAGTTATTGGTTTTCTTATTTTTAGTTAACGCATTAGGCATAAATATGTAAGAAACTGTGTGATATAGTACTATTTATATCTTTTCTTTGACCTAATGTATATAGATAAGTGTTACATTATTACACATACGTAGAATCAAGTGGATATAGTGGGGGATTTTCCAGTAAACCAATTCCCTAGGCAAGTTTTAAACTATAGTTTGTATTTATGTGCATCAAGTGGAAACATGTATCGTGTGAAAACTTACATGTAGCGT